TTACAATGACATAAGCATGTCTACACTTAGCCATGACAAGCTAATGCAAGGATCTGTAGCAAGTGTAAACAAACCTTGCAGAAGCAAACCTCATGGCATTTCTGGTGCTAGACTAAGGAAACCCATTACTGCAATACAATAACTGCTATGGCAGACAATTTCTCTCTCTAACTTAAACTATCCTGCTGGGAATGGGGGCCAAAAAAGAATGAAGTGCTAGCACATGGCTGCAAAGTAAGTGAGGTTTTACCCATACGGTTTGGTATTTCAGGCTGCTTTCTTCTTAGACACTTGAGGTTCCCCATACACCTTCACATAGGATCATGCAATTTAATTGATAGGGAATAGCTGAATTTTTGCCTAAATAATTTCAATAATGCAGTGACAGATTAATATGCTATATTAAACTCTACATAAATGAACTATGAATTATTAATGCGATACTGCCTATCTCTCCTTGTATAGTTGAAATTCATGGGCTAGAGAGGTGAACTTGAAAGGTAATTCCTGGGAACAGCAAACAAATTAGTTGCAGAGATGTGACTGCAAGATGATTCCTTCAAACATGTTCACCTGTCAATCTAACACAATTGGCCTAATTCTTCTTGAGTTTCTTCCCTAGCAGTGTGCAACAGTCTCCTCTTCATACAACTGCAGAAAGCAAAACAATATGCTCCCAAATCCAAAGCTTTCAGAAATAGCACTTGCATCAAGAGGGAATCAGGAAGTTCCTGGAAAGGATGATAGCTCAAGAGAATGCAATTGGGACATGAGGACCACAAAGTGAAGACAAAGCAGAAGCAAAAATGGTCAATCACCTATGTGAACATCTGATTCATGCAGTATCACTCGAAAACCTGCAACTGAAGCAATGTTCCTTCCTTTCAAGAAAAAGAATGTCAAGGCCATTTTCTCACCACTTTGCACTTGGAAAATGCACAGTCTCACAAACATCCCCAGTCACTCATTTAGAAATCTCTTCTGTCCACCATAATGCTAAATGGTAAAAGCATGCTGTTGGGATATTTCCTTCAGTTGCACAACCCTTCAAAGTGCAGCAGCATACAACATCGAGGACTCCTTTCCTTATCTCACCCCCCCTTGATGTCATAATACCAAATGAAACCTCTACCTAGATAGGTGAAGAAACTGTGCCCCTGATGCATGCAGTTCCTTGATCAACCAAATGTCACTCCAGACTCACAAGAGTGGATGTCCCAGACAAAAAAGGTTTCCCACCTGGATCCTAGAACTAATTACAGACCATTGAGTCAACAAGTCATATACTCTCAATGTCAACTTGGACTGGCTGAAGATTACAAATAGTACCAATCCACATAATCACCAAATAAGAGGAAATTTTGTAGACATGAGCAATTTCAAGTCACGCCTTTGAATATAATGAGATGCTCTACAATGAAATGCAGTGAGGAAGGGAATAGAATCAGGGAATCTGCTGGACAAAGACGTCCAGCACTGACTGGAAATGCTATAATTTCTTCAATTTGGAATTGTGAGTAATGCTAAATTACACTTTTTGAATCACCCTATTTGCAGAATGTCCTTCCTGAGCAGAGAAGGCCCATAAGGGCTCACCTCTCTTTAGGCCCAGACCAGGTGCCACGATGCTGAGCAATAGCTTTTAAATGAAAAAGGTGATAAAGATGGAACAAGCCTGAGCACATTGTGAGGTGTCAGACAAGAAATGAAACAAACCCTTTTGAAATGTTCACTCCATAACATATATGCATGCGATCTTCCCAAATGTGGACACCAAGTGAAGGAAAGGCAGGGTCTTCTTAGAAAATTTCTTGAAAAGTTCCTTCAGTCCTGAGAATACTTGACGATGTCTGACCCAAGAGGATGAGGAGTCAAGAACACCAGCATGAAGAGGTTGGAGGAATGGAGAAAATTTTGTAGTCAATACACAACAGACTTGATGCTCAGAAGTGACGGCCAGAAATCACTGACAGGTGAAAATCCGTATCAGATTCCGCAAACACTCTGAAGTCAATAAAAAAATTCTTCTCTCCATGAAAAAGGCCTTCATTGTACTTGCAAGTCTGTTCATATCATCGCCAATGCTTCCTTCATCAGCTGGGGCCAAAATCCTTCCTTTCATGTGACCACAAACATCTCTAGCACAGGAGTCATCTGAAACTGAAATGCCAGCAAGAACAAAGAGGAAAATGGGTTAGATGACGTCCATCCATTGCTATCCCTCCACGAAGATGATTCCATCCGTTCCAGCAGAAAGCTCAATCCAGAAATGTTCTGAAGACAGAACCAGTGCCAGGGATCTGCTAGTCCAGCTACCTGCAATCCTCATGTTTCACACACTTCAATCAATTGTAGAGAACCTCAGGAGTTTGAAATGTCAAGAGAAGATATCTCAGGACTTCAGTGACAAGCACATTCTTATCAAAACATTACAATGGGTGCTTTCTAAGTTTGGCCACTAAGGACCTGCTGTTCACAAAGCCATCAGCTCTGTAGGTTGATGCCAAAGGAGGCATTTCATTTCCCTATAAAAGAACCATCCCAAGCACCCAGGAACTCAATCTTACAGCTGATGTGGACATCATAGCAGTTCATAGTCACATCAACGTAATCATGATAAGGTTAGGTTTTGTTTTGTTCGACTCCCTGTTCCAAATGTCAATGACTTCATAGATACTAAGTTGGATGAAAGACAACAATTAAATCTTTAAAGACATCCATATCTTGCAAGAACATGATTCTAGAATAAACATGACCTGAAAAGACAAGGCATGAATCTTCCAAATCTTCTGAATAGAAAATCAATTAAGTCACCCAAAGTTTGTAGATTCTACATCTGCATATCTATGTCCAGAGCCAAGCATGTCAGTGAAAACAGAAAATTATGAAATACAGAAAAGCCAGGGAAAACCATGGTAGCAGAAGCTAATAATGTGCTTGTCACTGAATCTTTTTGAGCTGAGTTGGAATGATTTTAAATCAAGTTTCTGGTAAAAAAATGCTTCAACTAGCATGGAAAAGAACAGTACCCAAAAGGGATCAATGTTGGGAAGAAAGAAAGGATCCTTTATTTTCTTGCATTGAATCGTCAACTGCATGGTAACACTTCTTCCAATCTGAACATCTTCAAGTGCAGAGACCAGGAAAGACAGAAGCAGAGATAGCGCATAATGAATGAATGATGGAGAGGAAGTCATCGAGAGGAGCAAACGAATACCCTATATAAAGAGGATGGAATAGTCCAAGGATACGGTGAGGAACAAAGCCAGACCCCACGACGACAGACAAACACGCCAAAAGGATTTTGATGTCCCTGATGGACATCCCATGAAGAAACCAAAGAACATATGTCCCTTGCGTGTGTCTATGTGTGTTCTGTCACTGTACAATCAAGCAGGAAGATGGATTTGGTGGAGGGGATTTACCTGGCCCAATGCCTCAGTAGAGGAACACGTCAATGACTCGCCCATCAAGCCGAGATTGATCCATCAAGTCTGATGCAACCAAGGTCAAGGAACAATTGAATCACATAAAATACAGTTTCATTTCATTGCTCTGCTAATGGCAGAATTCAATAACCATGCAAGAAAAACACTAACCCAAAAAAGTTAATAAGATAGAGTACTGCACTGCAGGCATTCCAAAATGCCACATGGCATGGGTATTTCATGAGCAGATTATGTGATCTGTAGGGCTATTGACAGCAGACACTGTACTAAGCAGTGTTACATGATAGTCTGGAAAATAAACTGACAGGTGGCATTTGAAGGGAGTTGGGAAACTATGGGTGGCCAACTTATTGTTGAGAATTGATGCCATCGAAAATGGCTGTTAATAGCTTTGTTTCACTATCACTCAACACAAGCTGGTGGGGTATATACAGTCAACTCTCTTTTAATCTGGACAGCAGGGGATAGGTAATTTAGCCCAGGGTACAATAAAAAAACTAGCCAAATGACAACTCATTTTTCTTTTTCATCTGTATAAAACTGCACACCCAGTGGAGTGTAAAAATCCTTGACTTATTGTTACTTTCAAATGCAAATGCAAACCACTGACTCAGTTCTTTCAGCTACTCACATTGAATAAATTAATTTTTTCCCAATTTAATTCATGCAAAATACTTCATTTTTGCTTGACAGATAATGCCAAAAACACTCACTTATGATAGAAGGGAGGTAACAAACTTGTTGAGGTTCTAATGACATGGATGAGAAGGGAAGATGACCTTAAAAAGGTGAAAATCACCATGATGGATCAAAGGAGAAAAGAAGATATTTTTCCTGTCTCCTTGATTCCTTGAATGAGGGGAAAAAGTGACATGGGAAAGGGACGTGAAGCACTTCCTTCATACGATATTTGACCTCTTGCAACCAATTCTGGATAACTAGGGAGATTGGCCCAGGGGGGCAAGAGAACTTATCCATACAAATGGGAGCTGAGGAATAACTGTTCAGAAAAAAGGAGAATCTTAATGTAGGTTTCAAAATATTTCTGAATCCACCCATAAATAAATGAGAGCATCAGATTACAAGCAAGGAGTTAAATAAGAATGAATTGTTTTGTGTAAATATTTATCTTAAAGACTGGATGTAGTCAAGATGAGATCTGGTATTGTCCAAGGCATCAGTTAACCTCTTACTGAAAAAGCATGAAGGAGCTGCAAAAATCTTTCTTTTCATAACCCCAATGATTTGATTTCATTTGCATTCATAGGTCTCCACTACCACTGCCACTCCCATCAGTTTATTTTCTGGACAAGGTACACTTGTATCTCCATTGTGTCTACATTCAGATGTTTGTACATGAACCAAGGAAAGGAGAGGTAATGCCAACTCTTGTAAAAAGAATATAATGCTGAGAATCAGCCTTATGATGATTACATGTACTTAATTACCATAGGGACTGATTTTTGCTAGATTCTGCTCATAAGGTATTGAAATGGAGACCTGTCCAACTTAATAAATCAGAATAATATGTAGCACGAGTATATCATTGCATCAGGAAAGGATACTGACAGCTCGGTCGGCATCCCTCTCGCTCGCAAATCGAATCATCCCTGTGCCCTTTTCCCTCAGTTCGGCGAATTTCACATCGCCAATATCCCTGAACATGTCCTTCAGGCTTTGCCAAGAAAAAGAGGGTGGCAACTGCACCAGAGAAGAGATGACATCAGTATAACTCAGCAAGAGGATTCACAATCTGAAAGAAATACTAGGAAGCAAAAAACTTACATTGCGGATGATGACAGTATCGGAGACTTTGCGCTGGGTGAGTCCAGTGGATGTCCTGGACATCCCATGAGATCCTGACATCTGCATGGGTCCTTGACTGTAGCGATCCATAGACCCAGGTGAACCCGCTGGACCAGGACGTGGTCCCACGTTAGATCCCACCATAGGCTTGTTGGGACCACTTCCAAGGAGACCCAACCCTGTGGTTGAGGGATTGCCTGTTAGACCCATGAGACCAGCCTGGGAAGCCATGAGGTCATTGCTGCTAATTGCACCGAGGGAACTCAGCTGTCCTGCGGAAAGCCCAGCCAGGCTAAACTGGGCCTGGACTGCTGGATTTGCTGCATTCAACAATCCCAACCCCCCAGCCCCTTGCGTCAGAGCAGCCAGGCTAGAGAGATTCCCACCTGGCAGGCCCAAAGCACCTGCAAAGAAAAAGAGCAAGATGAGAAAAATGATTAGTGTCATGATAATAAGTCTACTTGTTACTCAAGGAACTAATAATCAAACTTTCTCATTAATTAACATATGATTAATGCCAGACAAATTATCGGTATCATTCTCACTTCATTGCTCTGGCCATTAAAGAATAAAAAATGAGATATATTTCTTATTCTTAATAAGTAGAATTACTTTCATCCCCGTGGAATGACCACTCCTGCAAGCAAAAAAATTGGAGCATCACCTCCTCAATTATCTAGCTTTCATTCTGGAAAAGGAGTGTGGAAAGAAAATCTCTTGCCATACTGCAAATGCAAGTTTTTCCATTCCAACTACATCAGATACTACTTTGTCTTTTTTTATGTTTCTCATCCTCATTCCAGTCATGTTAATGAAAAATAAAAGAATTTGGGGTTTTTAAATGTGACTTAGTTGAAGAATATGTTCAAGCATGAATAGTGAAAAAATAAATGAACCAAAGCATATTGCAATTAACTACTGAGATTGAAGTTCCTTCTGGAGGCAGAAAATAAACATCTAACAGTCAGAATGCAATTACCCAAGTGATCATGAAATTTTGGATTTTAATTCCATATTAACGAGGGATCATTGTGATAAAAAGCATGCAGGAATTAGTCCACCACAGAATTCACAATAATTGACAGCTTCTGGCAGGTTCAGATTCAATTATTCACATTACTCTCCCACATCAAGAAAAGTAATTATAGTATGAAGCATAGAACTGACCAACTGCTGCAGAAGGAGCAGGAGCCGAAGGAGGGGGAACAGGAGCTGCAGAAGAGTAATTCCCTGTCACACCTGGACCAAGACCTGCACCAGCATTCTGGTATGGTAGGTTGCCTGGAATTGCATTGCATGTAATGCCTGTAATACAGGATGATTTTTAGGAAGCGAGCGGAATGATAGCAACTGGTGCACTCACTGGCAACATTTTGTAAAGGAGCACCCCCTGCACCTAGACCCATCCCAATGCTCTTGAGACCAAGAGGTAGCTTTGATGGAAGGCCCCCAGGCTCTTGCCTAACCCTGTCCATACGGACAGACATCTTCCGGTCCATCAGCACCTGCTCGTGGAACATGGCTGAGATCTCAGAGTCAAAGATCCATAGGAAGCATAGTAGTGAATCATTACTTCATCAAGAAAGAAAACGGTCAGATTTATAACAATTACATAGTGAAGATTTTGGTTCTTCAAGACAATGAGATCAAATACATCATTCTTTGTCATATTGACAGGAATGATTTTCTTCACAGTACAAAACTAGGAGATATCATATCCATGACATTATATGCAGGCAGATTTGGGAATGGGTAGGGAAGGATACAGATGGCCTGGACAGCCTCAACAGGGTGATCATATTCAACGATTCCATGCCCTCTACTCTTCCCATCCTTATCCCGGTTGAGTTCCACATTGACTACCTTCCCTGCAAGTCGAAACACCTCCCGGAGCTTGGCTTCATCCACTTCATAGCTTAACTATACATGGGAAACAGGAGAGAAATTATCTTATGGACTGCAAAAGAGGCATTGCAAAAATGTCACCCATTATCAGAATAACCTTTACCAATTTAAATAAACAATACAGATTTCATGCAAAATATATGCTCCATGAGTGAAAATGTGAACTATAAAATCAATAAGCAACCACTGCAGCTAACAGGGAAGAACTATCTGTAAGACTCACATTGGCAACAAACACACGATTGAGGAGGGGTCCATCAATGTGGAGGCTCTCCAGGAAGGCTACACTCAAACCATATGTGTTACCAAACTTCGCAGCTGGGTCTCCACCAGCAGATATATTTCGAATGTGAGGATGGCCAAGGTTATCCCTTCGGTCCCTACTATCATCCCGCCGTCGTACAAAATCGCCTCCTCTTGGACCCCGAGGTGGACTTCCATCTCTGTCATTCTCCTTCAATAACCGACCATATCGATCTCTCTCACACTCATAATCCTGTAGTGAGTACACAAGAACATATCTTAGCAATAATCACATTCCAAAAAATGGGGGGATCTTCCTTTTTTCATTCTTCAGCAAAAACCATATAGATCAGACATAGTAGAGAGGTGAATCAGCCAGTACGAATACATGAGTGAAGTCTTCAGGATATTTTCCAGTATACATGTTTCTTTTCATCATATTCACCTCTTCTGCAAATTTATCTTCCCTGTTCATTCGAAATGATTGCACAGCATTCCCATTCAACACAATCATGTACAATCCCAAAATCCTTTTTGCAAAGACATGGAAGCCTTACACGCTTGACAACGATCTTGCGATCCTTGAGCTCATAACGGTGCATTTTTTCAATTGCTTTCTCAACGTACTCCTCATCCTGGAATTCTACTGTTCCACAGCCTCGGGGCCGATCCTTCTCGTCAAAGAACATGTCCACATGAGTCACACCCCCAACTGAAAAAGAAAGCAATCTCATCACCAACCATTCCTATTGTTCATGTACTAATGTGTACTTGAGCCTCACCTTCCTTGTTGAAAAGGTCCCTAACATCCTGCCACTTGTAGTCAAATGGGACATTAGAAACATAGATACGTCTGTCATGAGATGATCTCCCACTTCCACCACCACGTCTACGAATTCCTCCATCCCTGAATAAGACAGCAGTCATTCATTCATTCATGGGCATATTACCTAGGCCTTCATGCAGGTCTAGTCAATAAGCCTGGCATGAGAAACAGGCAATAACAAACAGATCATTACTCCTAGGATAACTTTTAGCAATAAGCATTGAACAACTGTCCTATGTTAGATTCCTATTTTAATTGTTTATATAAATCATAAGTTTAAAATTGCACAATACTGATTGCAATGCTGCAATCCTATTTCCTTCATTGGATTCTCAAGAATCTCACAATTCAATAAGTCCAATGAATGTTTTATCAAATTACATTTTCTTGGATGTTGTCACAATAAATGCTAAACAGACATCTAAACATTATGAAAATTTTGTTTAGTTTGCTCAAGTAGGAAGAATTTTATGCGCGATTAAAATCATCCGCAATAAATCCTCCAACACTGATCTCAGACTCCATAAAAACTCCAACACTGATCACAGACTCACTGACCATTGTCTTACAGTGAACTTGACGACTCAATTACGCCTCTATTGCTTGAAGTGAAATCTATTGCAAGTGTTGGAAGTACTACTTTGATGAGCTGCCAAAAGGGTCCATTGAAAAGTATGGAGCCCATGTTAACAGGGGTTAAAGTCATTCCAGAAACACTATGCCATGGCTGACTAGGAACTCAGCATGCACAAGCTGCCCTAGGGCCCAGCTGAACCTCATGCCATATATAAGAACCTGGACTGCCACTGTTTTCAACTACACTACTTCATGAGCACTTGCAGCATAATATAGGGTGTCCCATATGTTAGTTCATCCAAGGGATTTTCTGCTGTTATCATTAACATAGGTTTGTTATTAATGTTGTGTGACATTGTTTTGGTCATTATCATTATTGTTACATGTTTATAATTTCAAGCCAGGCAATGGAGAGATGCATGACTAAAGAGCAGCAGGCATTGGTACTTAAAAACTGGTAAATGCCAATAAAAACATGTAAGCAACAATAATAAGTAATAGCAATAATATCATAAATTATTAATAACATACCTAGGTTAATATGAATTTAACATAGCTGAAAATCCCTTGAACTAACTTATGGGAAACCCTGTATGTATACTAAGCAATAGGGAGAGGAAGGCACCATCCAATGGGAGCCTTACTCATGGAGGCATCATGCCAACTATCATGGCACATATGCTTAATATCTCGGAACACATGCTGGTTGCTTGCATGTGACTCATTCCAAACCCTTCAGTTGGTCTCGCTGTAATTAGCAGGAAGTTCCACTAAGTATCCTGGACGATCTATATCTGAAAACCTGATCAATTCCTGCCTGTCTAAAAGCAAGAGCAAGGAATAGGGTATAGGCCTAACACCATTGGGGTCTTTTTCACCGTCCTCAAAGAACTTAGTGACAACATGCCATGAAGGCCTACTTCATGAGAAATGGAGAAAAAATTTGCATGAAGGTCTTCATCCATGATGTCAGTCCTTCGAAGGAAATCTAATCCAGAAACCCTCTTTGAAAATAGGCATATTTATTTGGTTGCAATTATGAGGCATAACTTCTCATCAAAGATTTGGATTTCCACATTGATACCTTTAAATATGTTAAATAATATGATACAGAAAACAAAGAAATATAACCTTGGCAGTGTTTTCACTATGTGGGTCTTCAATCCCCAGTGGGATATTAGTGATTTTTATTATATACCTGATATTTGGGATGTGTTTCCAATATATCATTTGCATGATTTTGTTTGATACAATGAATTAGAGGTATAAATACAGAAATCCAAAGTTTAAAGGCCTAATGTCACTTCCTTGATGTAGGTTATGCCTCATAAGTGCAACCAAATAAATGCCTACTTTCAAAGAGAGTTTCTCATTTCAATTTTCCTTGAAGGACTGGCATTTTGGATGAAGACTTTCATGCCACTTTACTCTCAAGTTCTCATGAAGTAGGCCTTCATGGCATGTTGTCCCTAAGTTCTTTGAGAATGGTGACAATGACCCTAATGATAGGCCTACAGCCTATTCCTTGCTCTTGCCTTTTGACAGACAGGGACAGATCAGATTTTCAAATGTAAATCATCCAGGATACTGAGAGGAACTTTCTGAAAATTACAGCTAGCCTGACTGAAGGGCTCTGTCTTAAGCGAGTGACATCTAAGCATCCATGTGTTCTGGGATACGAAGCATAGATCCATGCCATGATGTCTCCACAAGGAAAGCTCCAATAGGCTGGTGCATTCCTCTCCCTATCACTTAGTGTATGTATGGCATAAACTCAGTTCAATCTTCCAACCACTCAATCTCCAGTCTCAGAAAAATTATTTAAAGAAAGCATGCATATAAGCCCTTTGAATAGCATAAATTTCAAAGGAGCAATGATTTACTCCAGAAAATCAACATTTACAATTCCTAAAACATTCAGAAAACATGATATTCTTGGCTTCACTAGCAGTTCCAGTGCTGAGGAACCAAATGATTCAAATTATGTCTGTATACAACTGATTAAAGAGTAGCAGGAAACCAGCAGCGAGGACCTGGGATTAATGCCAACACATCAACAATGCAAATATAGCAAAATGGAAGTAAAGGTGAACAGCCCTGATTATACAACTATGCCCAGAAATAGTGAAATCTCCTCTCAAGACCCAACGTAAATTTCAGTCCAAAACAGTCAGTTTTGCAAGTAATAGCAAGGAAAGGCAGGTCTACATGAAGTGGAGAAAACCTGTCTGTCCTCTGCCACCCAATGAGGCCCGAAAGATATGGTAATTTAAGCATTTCATAATAGGTGCCACCTTTCTGGATGAGAAAAGTCTTCATACTTGACTCATATGTTGTACAACTCATGACTAGAAAGGAAAAGTTATTGAGATCATTTCATGATGTGCAACACACGTATTAAGATCCTTGAATGAACACTGACATTCCAGAGAAGGCACCCATTCTAGCCTCCTTTGTCTAAAAATGTTCCAGTAAATTGATTCTTGTCCCATAAACAGCCATTGGTGGAATTTTGCTTGCTATTTCATTAACTCTACTGGATGACTATTTAGAATAGAGATGTATATCAATATTTTTCTCTCACCTTCTCCCCATCATACCCCCCTTGCGATCCTCATCATCCCTCAGGGGAGACCTGTGCACAATCAAGAAAACATGAACCAGAATGAAAATGAGATACACATTCACATGAATTGCTGATGCCAAAAATATAGCAAAAATATAAGAAAAATAGATGGATTCAAGTTCATCCCACTATTCACAGTAAAATTGATGAAAATGTTAGAAAATGTTTTCCCTTTCCACATCAGTATGGCACTTAAGAGAAAATCTGCTCAATCATACAGAGGCTTGTGCTCATAACAACCACGCATTTAAAAAGGGTGAAAATGGGAGAAGGCATCCTCACCTGTCTCGATTTGCACCGTTTTCCATTTCAGTGATACTCGTCCAGACGCGAGGTAGATACTTTCAGTAAGCCAATATAGCTTACTTTCTTTCTTTCCAACCTACAGAAAACAGATTTCTGCCGAGTTGATATCAATAAAAGTTAATCCTAAACTAGGTGTATCAAGGCTATCACGAAACAAAAATAGGACCGGGAATGGTAGGCCTAACGATCCCGGCGTCTTCCGCAGTTAACTGAATGAACTCGGCTTGCCTACACTCCGCCCACCAATTCCTCACGCGTTGACTAGTGAAGTCGCAATGAAGCGGATTCACCCGAAAACTAAGCGTTGCTTAAAATCGTAATAACGTCCAAACATCGTGACATCTAACGTTCCAGCTCAGCTTCGTTGTAACCGTGAAACGCACCCAGCACGAGAGGAACCATAATTACTGGCATATTCGACTTCGATGCTGGCGTGCTGCGCGCAGGAACTTGTTTATGGTTTGCAATGCCGCACGCCCCTGCATCCAAGATCTATTAGCAAATATATGCAATCAAATCATCCTGAAATTTACATATTCACGGACTCTGATGCCCAAAAGCAATCCCTTAATCTTGCTCTCGTCTCCTCAGGACGATCCTACTATTCTCACACTCTATGGTTTTTATTGTATTGATAAGCCGTCAGACTAATCGATTGGGCCTCTAATAAACGACAGGGGGAGTCGATTGCAAATAATGACGACATGGCTGGAATACTTAACGAGTTCTTCGCCTCCGTTTCCACTGTCGAATCCGACTCGGCACATACTTTGGAGGTGACTTCGGCACGCATCGAGGATATTTCCATCACCGAGGAGACGATCGTGAGTATGATAGGGAAGTTAAAGGTGGGTAAGACCAAAGACCTTATACTATGAAGACTGGGCACTCTTTGGCGGCGCCTTTGATGTCGGGGAAAGGATCCGGAAAGGCACGTGCATGTGTTCACTTAGAGCGTTGCACTAGGCCTATGGTCATGGTTTTACAATATACGTAACAGGCGGATGAAGCAAAATGCTAAATAACCTCAATGACCCCAAGGAAAAGAGCAACTGACAAGACTGTAAGAAATGGAATGACTTCAATTTTGAAGGGACAAAAACAGGCTGTGGATAATTACCTTGCAGCTTTGCTTTGGAATTATCAACCTTATGTTCTTGGCGTCCAGTTGAGTTACAGCTGGCTTCTACTCGCACACATTGTTGCTGACAGCTAAGCCAAAATGTTCTCGGCAATAGATGAGATTGCCATTGTGATTCAGCGATCTACATTTCATGAAAATTATGCAGTTCGTAAATTAACAAAAACCAAACTGATTCCTTGCTACATAAGTAATCTACGCAGCATGCATCGTCTTGTAATTCTGTCTGAATTCAATAATCGTAGCCCCCCCAGGGAGATCCTCGGAACATTGTTTTCCCAACTCCTCTTCACGGTCTTTCAGAAGGGTGAAAAGAGTATTCTGGGGAATTACAGGCCGGTAAGTCTCACGAGTATCCCGGGGAAGATCACGGAGAGCATCCTAAGAGACCACATTTTGGATTTCCCCGAAGGAAACTCGCTCATCCGGGACTCTCTGCGCGGCTTTTGGAGGCGTCGTAATCGTCTCATCGACTTGCTGGAATTCTACGATCGGGCGACGAAAGAGAGGGATGAGGGGAATTCAGTTACCGATACCGTTCCGCGCCAGAGGTTGCGGGTTAAACTGGAGGCGCACGGGATCCAGGGTAGGACGAGCGAGTGGATCGGTATCTGATAGACGGGAAGAGAGCAACGAGTGATGGTAAATGGGGAAGCGTCGACCGAGGTCGGTCGAGCAAGCGGGGTCCCGAGGGGCGAGGTCAAACGACCGCTTCTGCTTCTGGTCTACATAAAACGATTTGGATCTAGGCGTAGAGGGTATGATCAGTATATTTGCCGACGACACCAAAATGGGTTTTCCTATAAGGGGGGAGGCGAATAGGGCTCGAGTCGAGCGAGATTTCAGTCTCTTGGATGAGTTGAGCAAGAAATGGCTCATGAGGTTTAATAAAAGTAAATGTAAAGTTCTCCACGTCGGTCTAAATAACGGTAGGCCTCTCTCGACGCGTTCGGCGAGGATAAATTGGGGAGGCATACGGAGAAAAAGATCTAGGAGTTTCTATCGACGAAGACCTCAAGTTTTCCTCACAAACGCAAGCGACGGTGGCCATATGTAACAGGATTCGTTCGGTTGCGAGTAGGAACTCGCGCGTTATCTTTCCGTTGTATGCGGCGCTGGTAAGACTTCATTTAGAATATTGCATCCAGTTTTGGAAGCTTTAAAATAAGGGTGAATTGTTGGCACTCGAGGGGGTAATGAGGAGGGCCAAAAGAGCGATGAAGGAGGTTAGGGGACTTCCGTACGAGAAGCGTTTACAAGTGCTGGGACTGTACGAGAGAGAGAGAAGGTTAAGGAGGGGCTATCTCATCCAATCTTTCAACATAATTAAAGGAATAGATGATGTCGAGCGTGGTAGGTTCTTCCAGTTCGATGGTAGCAAGAGAACGAGAGGTAATCGACTCAAGTTGTGTAAGCCGCAGGTGCGGCTCAGGTCGAGAGAGGACTTTTTCAGTTGGGGAGTGGTGAACGCGTGGAATGCGTTAGACGACAACGTAGTGGCTGCTCCGCGCCGTGACTATTTTAAAGAAGAAACTAGATGCTTTTATATAGAGAAGCACGAAGGGGGGCAATGTTGACTTAAGGGACTAGGCAGTAAGCAACTAGGATATGCTTTAAAAAAAAAATCACAAAAATACAAAAATATTTAGCTTTAAAAGGATGAGGCCTACCCTAAAATGAAGAAACTCTCGACCTCGACACGTGATATCCAAATGGGTGTTATCGCCTCTTGATACCACTAAACAACCTTGAACCTTGAGACCAATTGCGTAGCGTTGGGGGGAAGTGGGGGCATAAGCGTAGCGTGGATGGAAAAAGTGGGGGTACATGGGAAATAAGGGGGGGGGGGGGAAGGGGCTCAGCACTAAGTGGGGATACTGTTAGTATGCATTTCTGGGCCTTTTTCTTCTTTTCTTTGGGCCTTTTTCCTTGAAAAGTGGAAAGGCACATTCCACCCCTGCCCCCCTCCCCCCGACGCTACCCTGCTGGGTGGGGGGGATGAGTTGCTCTATATAGGAAAATCTCGGTGAGAGGCCTTCCTAGGCTTTCCATCTTATAACAAGACCATGCCTTGACTTCAACCTATGTACATACCCGTTGCCTAAGAATTTCTCATTTTAACCCCCCCCCCCCCATGACTGAGACCCTGTACAGTAGACCAGGAGCACCCATAGAGTATAGAGTGTAACTAGAGGCGATACTCATTTAGTACTCAGGATACATTATGGATCCTGGAGAGATAAGAATGTATTATTTGGCTCACTACTGCTCCATCGTCTGGGAGAGATGAAAGTGGGAAGGTTTGGAAATGTTGAGAATATCCCAACCAACCGCCGGATGCCAAGGCATCGAGGAACGGAATAACGTGGGAATGTAAGGATACCTCTCCTCCCGCAAGAGAATTGGCACGCCTCACACGAACGCCTCACACGAGCAAAGACACTTATAGTGTCTTTGATAGAGAATAACGTAGCTTATAGGGGAAAGGAGGAAGGATCCTCCCACGGTCCCCCAGGCCGGAATTTCCTGGTTTATTCCATGGCGAGGATACAGCTTGAGAGAAATGTTTCAAGGAATTCTTTTGTCTTCCTCTGAGGTCTACGTGAGATACCACGGGGAACTGTGTCAAAGGGGCAGGAGACTCATTTCAGTGAAATCCGGGAAGTGACTACCTTGGCGACCACTTTGCCTCCATCTCTTGCGGGTTTTCAGAACCTTCCAGTCACATTGGATCATCTTCGGGGAATGATTAGCCGGCCAATAATTCGCCGGAAATGCGCCAACTTCCCTGGCGATGGAGCAACGAAAAGTTTTGACTGAGTGCTCGTCCCAGCCAACCTCATAAGGACTTGTGTCGCGACACCATCTGACAAGAGTATGTGCATTTTTTGTTACCTTTTACCGTCTGACCGACCCTCAAATCCCATGTGCTTCGTCGCGATTGGGAACTCGCGTCGCTTGTAGCTTGCGCCATGATTCGGCCGGTTCCGGTGCATCGTGAGGACTATTTGAGTTCGACTATGGATGCTAGTTTCGGCTTATGCTTGTGAAAGACGCTTACAACACAAATTGTCACTTCCGGAAATGCTTGGGAATTTCCAGTCGCGCGAATGTTTCGGATGAATTAACCCTTCCTGGGTGCATAAAATCTTGAAACTTCCACGCATAAAACTTGTAACCGTGTGACAGGCTACCGAGATGAAGCCTGCAATCGCAGGTCGGTTAGCGTTCCTCACGTGTGCCTCCACGCTCCTGCTCGAAGTGGAAGGCGTCCAGCTGATGATGGCGCAGGAGGTAGCGCCCGATGGGTGGACAAAATCCGCCGTGAGGCTCGCCGTCGTCATCCTCGACGAGGCCAAGAAGTTCCGCGAGGACCATCCCTCTCTGTCACCTTGCTTGCGCCGGGTCTTCCGTGAGATCGTGACGAGTGGAAGTCCCATACTCTCGCTCGTGCTTGACGCATGACGGTTTTGTCCTCTTTGTTGTTGTTTTTTTTTTGTTACTGGGTATTATCCGCCAAAACTCTCAAGGAATGCCGATTTCAGGAAAGATAAGACTTGCCAACGCTCATTTTTCCGATTATGAAAATTCCAGTTACGAATGGCAAATGAAAGATGAAAGAAATGGCAAACGTTCTCGATTTCGTCAGTGGGATCTTGAATGAACTTCGTGATAACCGAGGTTCTCGCCATACCCGAGCTCGTTATATCCGAGGTAAAATATCACGTGCTTTATGGTCTATATACCGGGACCAGCCACTTTTTGTCGCTATAATCGAGTTCGACTGCATTTAAGATCGGGGTGGGAATGTTAAAGACGTGCTTATCTCTGTTTTCTGCCGATAATGCTCGCGAAGTCCGAGCATGAATGCAGTCGTCGTGAAAATGGCAGCCGTGAAGGTCGTCGCTTTCCTCTCTTTTCTCGCGATCTGGCCGAGTGTCG